GCGTGCAATAGGCCAAGCAGTGGCGCCCGGGGAGAGGGGCCCCAGTTGGGCCCCCCCCCCCCCCCCCACTAAGCGAATTAAAAAAAAAGGTGTTCCCACGGTTTAGCATACAGCGTAATGTATGCTCGTTCGAAGTTGAGTGCCCAGAGAACTAAGGGATCAGGACAAACTGAACCGAATGGGTCTGTCCTTGCAACATCTCTTATGGTATGCAGATGAAGGAGAAGATACTCACATGTTTAGTAGGACTGTTGCTGGGGACGAACCATGGGTACATCACTAACAGGCAGAATCAAAGCGTGCTTCATTGCAATGGAAATATCCCAGTTCATTTTCAACCAAAACGTTTATGGTTACGAGTACGCCATTAACTGAGAAGGTTATGCTTACCGTGTTTTGGAATTCTCAGGGAGTACTGTTAGCCCATTTTCAGAGGCGTGGCGAAAATGTGAATTCTGCCCCGTACTGTGAAGTTCTGTTGGAGCTTCGGGATGTAATTCACAGAAAACCTCCAGGCGAACTGGCAAGAGGGGTACTGCTTCATCATGACAATGCCAGATCCCATACAGCCCCAGCAAACCGGGAGAGAATTCAAGAACTGCAATGGGAACTTCCTGAACATCCGCCTTACAGCCCGGACGTGTCCCCTAGTGACTTCCATCTGTTTGGGCCGCTTCAGAAAACACATACTGGTGGCAAACGTTTCGCTGATGACGAATAGGATGAAACGGAGGTGCGGAAGTGGCTGAGACAACACTCAAAAACTTCTATGTTGCGGCTTTCGACGCCCTGGTAAAGCGATAACACAAGTGTATCAATGTTGTTCGATGATTTGTCGAGAAACAATTTTTTTTTTCCCCCAGGTTTGAATATCATAGGGGGCACGCGGTAGCGTAGTGGTTGAGGCACTATGCTACAAGTCGGAAGGTCGCGGGTTCAAATACCGATGAGGTCATTGGATTTTTTTCTTCAATTGACCTAATCCTTCCGGCCACACTATGGCCCTGGGGTTCACTCAGCCTCTAACAGAAATGAGTACCAGGAATTAAATAAATAATTTTCCTGGGAAGTAAAGCGCGGCCGGCGCGTAAGGCTGACAACCTTACCGCCATTTTTGAGCCGATTGTCTAGACAACGTGGGACCCTCAACGTCTCACAACCCTATGGGCCTTCACGGCCTTTTACAGGGATAGATTTACCTTTTTTTTTTTTTTTTACTTTAGGTTTGAATATCATATATTTTACGTTTTATATCCATTTGTGATCTATTTACTGATTCTTCCACTTAAAACGCACCTAAAACTCGAAGTATTAAAGACTAAATTGCCTCTTGTTTTGTTTAGGCGTGAGACTGGTCTTTCGTTTTTGAGGGAAGAACAGAGATGGAAAGTGACTGCAAATAAAGTGCGAGGAGAAATATTTGAACCCATAGGAGAAGAAGCAACAAACGATTGAAAAAAAAAACTGCACAATGAGGAGCTTCGTAACTTGTAATGCAGGCCTATATTAACGTTGGCTAAACGGAGGAGGATTGGAAGAGTGACGCATATATCGTGCATGTATGAAGTGACAGAAACGCAAACTAAGTTTGGTGTGTTTAGGAAGTCATGCGCATAGGAAGGTCGATATTAAAATCGCCGGTACAGCGACTGGCTATGGGCTGGACGACCGAGGGGTCGGAGTTCGAGTCCCGCTAGGGTCAAGAATTTTCACTTTTCCAATCGTCCAGACCGGTTCTGGGGCCCACCCAACCTCCTATCCAGTGGGTACCGGGGGATCTTTCGCCGGGGTGTAAAGCTGACCACTCCCCTCCAACTAGTGCCAAGGTCAAGAAAATGTGGATCTATACATCTACTCCCCCATACGTCTTCATGGCGTAGTGCTTAATTAGTTAAGCACAGGACAACTTATCTTTTGTCTTAGGAAACTAGAAAGTGAAAGTAAACGTTCATATCTTATAAAATGGAGAGTTTCTTGACCAGCTGATTAAGTATCGGCTTTTCAAACAAGACAGATTTCCTCCACAGAGCTTTGACCCGACGAACCAAGCTACCTCGGCCCCTCTGCTCGGAGAATAAACCACAGACAGGACACATAGCGGTTGTGGCGCGCCCAGTTTTCGTACGTTATGCGGAATTTGAACGCGCACCAGTAACATAATAAGAAAACGTGTAAAAAAAAGGTAAAGTTCTCCCTGTGTTTAACTAATTAAGCACTATTCCATGAAGGTGTATTGAGGAGTGGATGTATAGACACATTTTCTTGACCTCGGCACTAGTTGGTGAGTGGTCAGCTTCACGCCCCTGCCGCTTTACCCCTGGTACCCACCGGATAGGAGGTTGGGTGGACTCCTGAGCCGGTCTTGACGTGGAGAAGAGAAAATTCTTGCCACCGGCACTCGAACTCCGACCCCTCGGTCGTACAGCCCGTAGCCTGTCGCTATATCGACTGCGCTATCCCGGCTCCGAATAATGTAAATACCATATCAAAAATAAATGACCGTAACAGTTTTTCTTCGCAAGTAAATTTACAGCTTGTCGTCTTCGAATAAGTACATGCAGTTATTAATGACAAAATAATACGGTGTACATGATCAACTATTAAATTTCAGTCAACATACACATTTCCGTGTGGTGAGTAACTGTTTATGAAACATGAATGGGCTTGTCATATAATTTTCCCGATCTTGTACCTAACCTTCCACTGAGAACATAAAATCATTTTACATTATCAATTTTATGTCCAAACCGAATTTTTCTCATCCAGGCATTTCGACTGAAACTCTCACTCACGGAGCTGAGCCCTCCTTGAGAAGCTGCCAATTGTACAGCTACTCAAGAGCATCCTAGCACTTTATGGAACCCAAAGGTTCATTGCCGTCTTCAAAAGAGCCTTCCACTGGTCTCTATCCTGAGCCAGATTAGTCCAATCCATACCATCTCATCTCTCTATGATCCGTTTTAATATTGTCCACCCACCTACGTCTTGGTTTTCCTAGTGGTCTCTTTCCATCTGGCTTTCCCACCAATATCCTATATGCATTCCTCTTCTCCCCTATTCGTGCCACATGCCCTGCCCACCTCATCCTTTTGACTAAAACTGCTTGCAAAATATCAGTCAGGAATACGCTTGTAACGGAAATACAACATAAGGCGAGGAGTATGTTAAGAACATATACGATTCTCTCACGCATGGGCAGTGTGTTCCGTTCAAACCTCCCATATTTTAACTTTTCATTGCGAACAAACTGTGATAAATTATGGATTATAATTAACACTAGATGAAAGAAAAACTAAAAGAATTTCATTTCCGTTTCTCTTCGGTGAAGCTACAGCATCTGGCCGCGTATACCTTTGCCTGTTAGAACAGTTCCTGTATCCCCAGGTAGCCGATCTACAGCCTAACATAGTCTTCCAACAAGATAGGGTCTGGATGTTCGGAGGTTCCTCAATGCCACCTTCCAAGACCGCTGGAGTGGACGTTTCACATCCGTGAAACGATTATTACTGTATCAATGGACATATTGGAAAGAACGTGGCAAGAAATTGAATACAGACTGGATATTGTTCGTGCTACCAATGTTGCACACGTAGAGGTTTATTAGTGTGTCAAATATTTTTTTTAGTTGTTCTTGTATTTCCTGTAGCTTCATTTTCCTACTATTCATACTTTCTGTCCTAAGGTCTGATAAAATGTGGGAGGTTTAATGGCTACAGATTAATGAGGTCTACTCCAGTACTTGACCGTTATTATATAGAAATCAACATGTCGTGTGAAGGAAGCCTAAGATAAGTCTCACCCTTTACTGAATCAATAGGCTAAGGACATGCCTTAACCTCAGGACTAGACGAACGTGATTAGCTTCACATTTCGGCCACTCAACACCAGAGAAATAAGACGCCGATAGTCTTCGGATGGAAGGCTGGTCGGACTCCAGAGCCGGAGTGAAGAAGGGAAGATATCCTTATATTGTCAGGAATCGAATCATGGGCGCAAGTCTCTTTAGCTAACCACTTTCTCGACGTCAACTATCACAGTTCTTACGAAGAACGTATGCGTAACACAGATATCCATCTCGTTGGTTTCGTTCGAAATGATGAATATTTATTTAAATCTGGATTGCATTTCTAGATATTCGCACACTGCAACATTTTGGGCAATACCAAACGGCAGTAAACTTGGAGATTCACACGATTCAACTAAGTCCGGAGATATTGGGGTTCGAATTTCAGTCGGGATGCCTCAAATCTCCAAAAATGAACTAATTACCTCTCACACTCGTGAGATGTAACCACTGACTGGGCAGATTTTATTCAGTCAGTTGCTTTCCAGAGGTAATTGGTTCGAATTTCGGCGGGGGCATTGGTTACTCTTAGGTTTCCCTTGAGGTAGATGCCTTCATACTCACCACCGCCGTTCTTGAATACAAGGTACGGGAATCTCCAGACGTTTCCCAGCCCGACGGCGTAGTTGACGCACGACAAGACGAACTCCAGATGGCTGGACCAAGTACCACGCTCCTTCGACATGCTGCGGCGACGACTGATCCCAGCAGACTGAACGAGAGTCTAGGGAAGGCGATTCGAGTTCGGCGAAGAGCAGGATTTTGTGTGATGACGGATTTCAATTCACGAGTAGAGGCTAAAGGCACTGGATTTATCCGACTCAGGACTCGGACCAGTGGTGGGTTCGTATGAACATACTAATGAATCTTCGGATTTCATAAAAGGCGGGTAATTTCTTGATGAGCTGAATGACTATTCGCTTCCCGAGAAAGGATCTGTTCTCCGGAAATAGGCTTTAAGCACTACCATACCCATCGCAGTAAACAATTCACTATAGGAATTATAGCTGCAAGACTCGGCAAGGCCACGAACATAAGTGAAGTTCTCCCTGTGCTTAACTAATTAAGCACTACGCTATGAAGGCGTATCAGAGGTGAATGTATAGACCCAAATTTTCTTGGCCTCGGCATTAGCTGGAGATGTCAGCTTCACACACCGTCCGCTTTACCCCTGCTACCCATTGGATAGGAGGTTGGGTGGACCTCAGGGCCGGTTTGGACGTGGAGAAAATTCTTGACCCTACCGGGACTCGAACTCCAACCCCTCGGTCTTCCAGCCCATAGCCAGTCGCTATACCGACTACGCTATCCCGATTCACATTTCATTAGTCTTTAAGTTAAAATATTCTGATGTTAATGTATTTTCGTCATTCACACTACATTTCCTTGAGAACGTCACTCTTTACCCTTTCTTGCGTTACCGTCTACTTGCGGCGTCCGTATTTTCTGTGTTGTGTAATACATACTTATGATTTTTGTTATTGTTAAAATTTACACTTTTTTTTTTTACAAATTTTGAATTTTTGTAGTATTTGTGTATTAGTGACTATAGATGGGCTCTGGATTGGACTTATTGCACCTTATACATTCACACAGTTTGCGACTACAGACACAGCTCTACCGCTATTCTACACTCTCCAGTTTACCGTTGCACACGGACTAGGATTCTCAGTCTTCTCTAGTCATATCCTGGCAACAGATTTATCTGTCTCACTGCCACCCACATATAGTCTTCTTGGTACCGCCTAATTCCTTTCTTGCTATTTCTTCTCGATCACCTTCGACTGATATCTCCAGAACTCGACCCAGTTCTCTCAACTACTGTTCTTTACTCTCATATTTAGTGTGTACGTACCCTCTTATAACTCCTCAGCACGGACACCACGGAAAATACCGTGTTCTGTTGTCAAGAATGCGTGCTCATGAGGCGCCCTCTCTGACAAGAGGCAGGGTCTGTAATTTCTCATTGCATGTACAGGCTATATGTCCTATGTTATACATCAGTGAATACCCTTTCTCTTGGTCATAGTGGAAATCATGGGCAATGAACACTCTGTTCCCTCTATGAGTCTGTTATAACAAGAGTTCACTGTATTTTGTTATTAGAGTAGCATCTGGAAATAAGCAGAAAATAAAATATTCCTTACTGTGAGTGAGGTCATCTCAGTGCTGTACTGGTGTTACAACAGAGAATGTGCTGATGTGTCACCTACCTCACTACAGAGCATCAGTGTAATGCTGACTAGCATGGGCTAGACTAAGAGCACCTGGAGAAAAATCTGTCCCACTAACATTTTGTTCATTCATCATTGGCTCTACAGCTCTTTGTTGGGCCATGGCCTCTTCTTCAGTTTCATAATATTTTTTACATAGAAAGTAGGACTTCTTGGACAAGTTATCAGCCCGTTGCAAGGCCGCTGCCTATACACATAACACAAACACAGAGACACCTATGCCTTGAGTAGGATTCAAACCCATGATCCCAGTGTTCAAGAGAACAAATATAGTTCATGCCTTAGACCAGCCCTGTCCAACGTGGCGCCCGTGGTATATTTTTCTGGCGCCCTCTGTAACCACATATAATTGAGCCGATTTTTAATATTAATTCAAACTGTAAGACAAGAGACATTTTTGAATGCCTGAGTACTGTTAAATATTGTCGAAAAATTTTATTATTATTATTAGTAGTAGTAGTAGTAGTACTTGTGGTAGTAGTGTGTGGTGGCACCGGCACCTCCACAGGCATCAGTGAATTGTGCCTGAGTACATAAGAAAGTTGGAGAGCACTGCCTTAGACCGTGCAGCCACTGTGATCAGCACCAATATCACTTAGTCTACCACAAATCCGTTCTCAGGCTGAACCCTAGACTCAAATGAAAAGCCCAAATGACAAGACATAATTAAGTATACAAAAAATGTTCTTATGGGTCCAACCAATTATAAAAATAAAACAGAAATTGTTCTACTTCATTACACAGCTATGTTCATTTTAGTGGGGCAGCACATACAAATGCAAAGTCTGTCACATAATCCCTGCTACACGATTTGTACTTATACTTGATAAATTACTTTATTATTCAACAATTGAAATTCACACAGTTACAGACAAGGCACACACAAAAAATGCACAGGCAATCTAAAACTATCAGATTCACAGGAATTAATGTTGAACTGTATTAACTCAACATATAAAGTTCTTTTCCTTGGTTCATACAAAATTAACAACAAATTTTTCATATATTATTTTCATACAAGAAAGTTTATTAACATGGGGAAAAACACTTAAACCCAAAAATAAGCATTTGCTTATTTCTTAATTATTCTGCAAAAAAACAGAAAACAAATCTTACAGAAGTAAGATTTGAGGTATTCATGGTGGTGACTATGAAGAAAGCAGTCNTGGGCAGGTGGTTTTTTGTCTTTTACATACCAGACGATGGGTGAAGTCCAAAATAAGCCACAAGAAGTACAGTCTTCTGGGATTTGGCACCATATATATGTGGTGTTAACTGACGTTTCGGAGGAACCTATCACAGAATGTCTGCTTTTACCGGTTCTCACGGTCTCTTCACTTGCGGATTTCTTATATTTTTCCTTCTACCCTGAAGATCAAGGCGATACGTTCCTCCGAAATGTCTGTTAACACCACATATACACGGTGCCAAATCCCAGAAGACTGCTTTCTTCAAATCTTACATAATTTATCAAGCCTTCCCAACTGTATGTTCATTTTTCTTAATATCTGATAGAGATGTCACATCTCTACCCCAAACTTGCAAATGTTTAAATAAAACTTTTGTTCAAAACAGGAAATAACAAGTAGGTAACTGACATTTTGACCTCTTCCTTATAATTACTAAGAGGTTACAAACCGCTGTGTTTGCAGATATCAACACACAACTCATGAGAGGCTATATAANAACTCTCCGTATTCCTACATACGTATAGCTGCCTGATGATGGTCCTGTGCAGCCGAAACATGTAGCAGGAATAAAGATCGAATATTAAAACTGAGTATATTTGTTGTTTTGACGGTTGACATAATTCCTANATTTGTAGCATGTGTTGTGTTGACAGCCGACATAATTCCTATATATATCTGGAACACACAACAGGATGCAACCAATGAAGATAATTTATGAGAAGCTTTCTGATTGCATTGAGATTCATGACTAAGGAAATCACTAGTTATACAAACAACCTTTGGGCATGAAGATGCTGAAACTACTATGTGCCAGATTTAGCCAGCATTCTTACCCCTGGAATTCAGACCTAACACATGCAAAGTAACAGAACGAACTAAATCGGTGGTCCTCAAGGCGTACACCATGGCAATTCTACTGGCTGGTATAAAAGGTCATTTGTTTTCTTCACACACCTCAAATTTAATGATCAAGGTATAATAATATTTGCAGTTTGAAACTAGTTCTATGGCACATTCAATCTTGTTCTGTAATGGCAGTGCCAAAAAAGGGGCTTGAGAATCAGTGAATTAAACAAATACTTTAATTTGTAAAGTCCAAATAAAGCGCCACTTAGTTTTAAACAAGCAGGGTCAACAAGAGACAAAATATATTTTTATTTCACATTTACATTTCATTTTCGAAAAAGAGCTATGAGATTCAAACTTCTTGGCTTCACTTAGGTCTAGGAGCTGCTGCAAAATAGTCTGATATTTTTCTTTTAGGTATAGGACTTCTGGCAGTCAATGAACTGTTGGTGTCACACTGTTCCAGGTACTGCAATAGTGTCCCCTTTTGTTTATCACTGGTTGCTACAGTGTCCTGTTGCTTCCCTACTGAGCCCTGGTTGACATACGAGCTTCCACATGTTTCTCTAAGCTTAATGCACTTGAATGGAGATTCATTTTCACTTTTCCTTGCATTGCAATTGTCCGAATCAACCGGAAGTGCTGCTAGAGCATCTTCCAGTTCCTTATCGTTGAGGGCCCCTCTGTTCTTATTAAGCCACTTACATTCATTGTTCCCCTCTCCTCTGGGTCTCGTACCTATGTGTCTTGCTGACAGTGCAAATGAAGCAGCTGCAAACATAAGGATCAGCAAATTCAGTGAGTCACCGTCACCTTTTGCAGTCTTACAACATTCGCTAGCAATCTCAAATATTAATAAAGCGCTTGTAACGAGGCTACCAAATGACAGAATTACAAATAGTTCAAAGAGACAAAGAAAATAAAAGAACATTCGGATTATAGTGGATGTTCTGGCTGGCATTCATTGTATACCTCTGTATGACAATGAGTCATAGTCAGTGAATAACATTGTTTTCAGTACAGCAAGATTAAAGGTTCTGCCTGTTCAAATTTTTTGTCCTGAGAAACGAATCCAGTCACATCCGTTATGAGTGATATGATTCAACAGTGACCTTTCATAATTAAGACTACTGGCCGGACGACTGTGAAATTGGGGTTCAATTCCCAGAAGAGGCAACAGGTTTTTATTTCTTCCATGGCATTCATACTGGCTCTGGGGTCCACCAGGATTTCTATCCAGTGAGCACCAGTGATTCCTTCTTATGAAATATCATACAATCCTCACGTTTCCTTAACCTTCTCAGGTAAAAATAACTTCTACAACTCTATAATTTACATTCTCTCTAAGATAGACACCATGTTTCATCCCTAGGTAAAGTGCCTTAAACTCATATGGATGGACTGTACTGTTCTTTTGTGATAATGAATAAAAAATTTCAACACCCCTTCTAAGGACTGTCAGATCTGGAGGTTCCAGTGAATTGCAGCGTCTTCCTATAGCAATAATATAGTACAGTGGAGTAATACACAACCGCTCAAATGATGAGACATAAACCGTGATACTTTCAAAGTGATCTAGTGTCTGTCACATCTTAGTTGTCAGATTACATTACATCGGACTTGTCCTCTTTTTCACTAAATTTGACAAAATCACTCTCTCTCACTCACTCATGGAGCTGAGCCCATCTTGAGAAGCCGCCAACTGTGCAGACTCAAGAACTTTCCAGCATTTTATGGAACCCGAAAGTTCATTACTGTGTTTGCAAGAGCCCTCCACTGGTCCTTATCCTGAGCCAGATCAATCCAATCCATACCACCCCATCCTCTATCTTTAAGATCCATTTTAATATTTTTCACCCACCTTGGTCTTCCCAGTGGTCTCCTTCCTTCCAGCTTTCCCAACAATTCCCTATATACATTCCAACTCTCCCCCTTCATGCTACATGCCTTGCCCATCTCATCCTTGACTTGATCATTATAATTATACTTGGAGATGAGTAAAAGTTATGAAGCCCCTTACTATGTGGTTTTCTACAACCTCCTGTCACTTCGTCTCTCTTTAGTCCAAATATTCTCTTTGGCACCGTTCTCAAATACCCTCAGTCTATGTTCCTCCTTTAAAGTCAGAGACCAAATTTCAGACCCATACAGAACAACAGGCAAAATTATAGTTTGTATAGTCTAATTTTTATGTTTTTAGACTGTAGATGTGAAGACATAAGGTTCTGGACTGAATGGTAGCAAGCATTACCTAGATTCATCCTTCTCTAAATTTCCTCCTCAATCAACTTTTGATTTGCTGTGGTCATTCCCAGACATTTGAACTGTGCCACATTTTCAAATACTTTGTTAGCTAGCTTGGCCTGGATTCTGGTGACAAGACAGCAACATATACTTAGTTTTCTCTGTGTTTACTTCTAGACCAAACTCCTTACTAGCGTCAATTAAAGTTTGTGTCTTTCTTTATGGTATCTATGTTATCTCCATATACATTCACATCATCAGCATAGACCAGCAGCAGTGCCACCTGGTTTTCCTGAACCTTCCTTATGGAATATTCTACAGCAAAGTTGAAAAGCAGTGGCAATGAAGCATCTTGTTTTAGACCATTCTAGATAGGAAAATTATCAGATAAATGTTTACCTGTATGGACTTTACCCTACGCTTCGTTTTAACATATTTTAATCAGCATATCTAGTTTCAGGGCCACCCAAAACTCTATGAGAATACTGTACAATACTTCCATCCTAACTGAATCATAGGCTTTCTTGAAGTCTATGAATAGCTGATGTACTGTCTCATTGTACTTCCATTTATTTCTCCAGTATCTGAAGAATGCAAAAGATCTGATCAGTAGTTGATCTGTTATGTTGAAACCCACAGCGATGATCCCCAATAATTTCATCTATATATTGACTTAAACTTGAAAGAAGAATATTGGACAAAATTTTGCATGAAGCTGATAGCAGTGATATCCCACAATTATTATTACAGTCAATTTTATCACGCCTTCTTGTGAAATGGTACAATAGACTCCTTCCACTAATCAAGCTATTTTTCCTATTTCAAATAGAATTTATTTGCTTATGGACCACAGAATGTAATATTTCGCCTCGTGCTTGAGTAAGTTCTGCCAGAATTTGATCACTACCTGGTGATTTATCCCTTTTCAATTTTAGAATATAAATTTCAACCTCAGAAAGGCTAGGATCAGGTGCTTAACAGCTCAGCTGTATGTATTTCTATCTGCTAACAGACAAAAATTACTTACTAAAAAGTACTTTCTTCCATGTCATCAGAGACAGCAACTTCACCATAAACAAAAGTAAAAAGCATTCCAGTTGGTTATTTGATGAAATGGTTTCCTTCCCCAACTTCCCTTCTAAGTAGGAAAGTCCATAACATTTGTTTTAGTATACAGGCAGTTCAGAAGCCATGGAAAAGATCTACTGATTCATGTTTTAGTTAAGCAGTCGCTCAACATTCCATGTTAAGCAGGTCCCTTAACATCAAGGAACGGCATGTTGTCAGGTTGCCCATGGTGGAAATGGCCTCCATATATGGAAGGCAAGCTGGGGTAGCACAGTCAGTATAGCGATTGGCTATGGGCTGGACAACCGAGGGGTCGGAGTTCAAGTCCTGGTAGGGTCAACAATTTTCTCTCCTCCATATCGTTCAGACTGGCTCTTGGGCCCACCCAGCCTCCTATCCAATAGGTACTGGGGGGGGGGTCAAGAAAATGTGGATCTATACATCCACTCCCCCATATGCCTTCATGGCACAGTGCTTAATTAGTTAAGCACGGGGACAACTTTACCTTTTTTATATGGAAGGCAACTGTGAAAATACTGAATAAGAAGTCACATACTGCATACAAGGGGTTTGGGTTTGGGCATGGGGCTCTTCACCATAAAAATATCAGCATGTCACAAAATGTTACACAGAGCCTTCGACTCAGGAGTATTATCAGGAATGACTTAAGTGATGAGGAACGGACATGAGACTTGGCATGTGGAATGTAAGGCATCTCAACATGGCATGTCACTGACAACAGCAGAAAGTATTAAATCAAAGTATAAGCTAGTTTTAGTGGGAATACAGGTCACATGGCACAAGGGTGGTACTGAACCAGAAAGTATATGTTTATCTATGGAAATAGGAATGAAATCATATGAAGTGGGGACAGGATTCTTTGTATAAGGGAATCATATCACCACTTAATAAGGATGTGTGTTTCTAAGAGGTTACTTGTGTGAGCCTGTTCTTCTGAATGTTATTGTTCTTTGGGTTCAATACAATTCTGCTTGAGTGACTGTGCAACTACTGGCTTCTCAAGAACGACTCAGCTCCATGGAGTTAAAGAGTCAGGCACCCAGTATTTCATCCTATTTAATGTAACTTCCATACATTTCATAATTAAATAACTTATCAGAGAACAAAGGCACTATTCTGTTTGTAGTTGTTCCCATCTCAGCTGTATAAGATAAACTTACTGAAAACAAGAATTACAATTTATTCACTTCATAGCACATTAACTTGTTTATATGAACAACTTAAGACACCCCAAAAACGATCTGAATGCATCATGATAACCTGGTATAAAGACACACTCAACAAAGTTGTGGGGGGGGGGGAAACAGTATCATACAAGGTGTGTCCCAAAAGTCATGAAATATATTTCTTTCCCCGCTCCTACTGGTGGGAGCGTGCTGGAAGCGGTTGGGTTAGGAGGGGGGAGGCCTTTAGCTTCACAGCGTACCCAAGGTCAGTCTGCTCGAGCATTGGAGGCATCAGTATCACTGATTTAGTGCACCTGTGTTTTGTGACCACATCACGGCGCGATGGCGGATACTTTCAAACAACGTTGGGCCGTCATGTTCTGCACAAAGCTCAACAAAAAAGCTGCCGAAACTCACGAACTGCTTAAGCAAGCCTACGGGGAGCCTGTTCTATCATATGTGCAAGTTACAAGGTGGGTGAAGAAGTTTAAGGAGAGCCAGGAAGGAGTGGAAGATGACCCCCGCTCTGGACGGCCATCAACAAGCCAAACCGATGAAAATGTGACTCGTGTGCCTGATCTGTTGAATACTGACCGTTGAATGACTGTCCGGTTGTTAGCCGACACTCTGAACATTCCAAAAACCGTTGTGCATCGCATCTTTATGGACGAATTGAACATGCGAAAGGTGTGCACCAAGCTGATCCCCAAATTGTTGACGGACGAGCTGCCACAGCCACCCTACAGCCCCGATCTAGCTCCGGCCGACTTCTTTTCGTTCCCGAGGATCAAGACTGCACTCAAAGGACACCGTTTTGAAAGCATTCAGGCTATCCAAGCGGCCATGACAACAGCTTTAAATGAGGTTCCTGTCGAGGCCTTTTCAGGAGGCGTACCTGGCATGGGAGAGTTGGTGGAAAAAATGTGTAGATGCTCATGGACAGTACTTTGAAGAATATTAACACTTTGTACCGATATCATCAATGCATTTAATATATATATACATATATTTCACGACTTTTGGAACACACCTTGTAAAAGTCTGTTCATCGACAGCACCACTGTCAGAGACAGGCAAAACATTCACATATAGAATTCACCCTGAGCATCACAGAGGCAAAGGAGGCTACAAACAAGAAATGCAAGTAGCAGCTTCATATTACCAGTAGCAAAGTGAAAAAGTTACCTCTTATCATTATTAACAGATGCTGATACTGTTATCATATTTTAGCTTATTATTCTGTCTATGCAAAATTTGCTTGACATAACATACCATCACCAGATTTATAATTGTTGACTTATAAACGCTATACTTACTTACTTACTTACTTACTTACTCATGGAGCTGAGCCCTTCTGGAGGAGCTGCCAATTTTGCAGCTACTCAAGAGTTTCTCAGCAATTTATGGAACCCAAAGGTTCATTACCGTGTTCACAAGAGCCCTCCACTGGTCCCCTATCCTGAGCCAGATCAATCCAATCCACACCATCCCATCCTATTTCTCTAAGATCCATTTTAATATTGTCCCCCCACCTACACCTTGGTCTTCCCAGTGGTCTCTTTCCATCTGGCTTTCCCATCAATATCCTATATGAATTCCTTGTCTCCCTCATTCATGCTACATGCCCTGCCAACCTCATCCTCCTTGACTTGATCATTCTAATTATACTTGGAAAAGAGCACAAGTTATGAAGCTCCTGCTGCTAATGTTGTCTGCAGGGAGGTTGACGTATTCGGAGCCAGGAATGTTCTACCCAAACAAATTTTAAATACAGTAAACTGTTAGTATTTTATTATTTGCATGTTCAGTAAAGCAAAATGAATTACGTAATTTTCCTCTGAAAATCTATACTATTCAATTCTTAATTAAATATTAATGTTTCATTCCTATATTCGTAATAGCACNATTATGCAGTTTTCTCCAGCCTCCTATCACTTCATCTCTCTTCAGTCCAAATATTCTCCTCAACACCCTGTTCTCAAAGACCCTCAGTCTCTCTTCCTCCCTTAATGTCAGAGACCAAGTTTCAAACCCATACAGAACCACAGGCAAAATTAGAGTTCTGTATATTCTAATTCTTATAAACACTATATGACATATAATTATGCAGGTGTGTTAACAGTGACAGAGATTCTGTCGAACCACTAGTGACTAGAGAAACTTTCTACAGATTGATTTAGGTTACGATGTGCATCAAAGGATATAAATAAAACATGAAAACGTTTTGAACTGTTTTTCAAACAAAGGATTTATTCTTAGAAGCTATATAACTGAAGCCAGTAATTAAGCAGAATATTTCAGAAAACTACAGGGAAGAGGGTGTCGAACTTCACAGTGTGCTTGTAAATCAGTAACACCAGATGAACAGTACATGTCCCTGAGGTTATTATGCTAATGAGATGTTTGCCTCTTGCTTTGACTGCTTCAAGGAACATGAATTACTAAGATAATGTAAATTATATCCTTCTTTTCTGCAGATAAATTTAATTAAAATTGCAGAAATTTCTGGCAAATTTAAGGCCACATCTTTTCCACTCTCTGGTTATTTAAATTGAATCAAATTCCCTGGTGCTAGGGGGGATAATAAAGACAAAAAGTTCATTTGGATTTGCAAGAAAAATGGCAACCTAGACTGGCCACAGGTGTAATATGTCCCTTTTGAATTACATTTTCATAGTGAAATTCAAACTTTACAATGGTGACGGATGGATTATCAGGTCCATGCTGTACATCAAGAACGACGAGAATATTCCAGAGACTCAGCAGACACCATGTGTACTTTCGAGAACACTGTAACCATGTTACCCTGTTCTCACACTGCCATACAAAGCACACAATATCCTGGGTCTGTGAATGTCCACATTTCCAACATATGTGCCACCTTTAGAGCACATAAGGCTACTACTAATTTTTGTTAATGGATTGTAATTGTCTTTAGATGACAAGTTTTCACATATTTAGCTGCTGAGATTCACCATGAAGGAGACAGGATGTACCAGCTCTTCCATCAACTGTGCTACAACATAGAACCTAGAGAAACCCAGGGATTAGTTCTTAGAACAAAAATGAAGTATACAGTTTTAATCCCTATTTATACATGTACATAAAAGAACCACAGCCACAAAGATAAGTATTTCTTTATGCAGAAATCAGGCTGGAGTTTAGGAAATCTGTGGGCATAATAAATCCTGGATGGGACCTCATGAAATGGAATTCTGGAGAATTCTGGGTGTATCCAAACGGTAGAAGGAACTCAACTGAAAACGGATGAACATAAACAGTATAGCACGGAAATGACTAAGATGTACCTTGTAACAAATGTAGAGCTGAGAACAGGATGAACTGAGAAAATAGGTGACTACGGAAACTGGGAACCGAGAACACATACTAATAGAAGTGAGAAGAACCCCAATAAAAATTTGATGAGAGTTTCCACAAGGAAAGAATCTACATTCATAACACTCACACTGCACTACCACTGGAGTGATGCTTGTATGGACCTACTCTAAACATGGAAGACATTAAATTATATCGGAAGGAAGGCTGCTGATATTATAAATCCTGAAGTTCCGTTCACAATTAGTGAATTCTAAATTAAAATTTCCCATCACTTTGAATTCTGCTTAAAACACAAAAAACAACCTTACCAACCATACTGTTCACATCAGTTTTATCACAACACTACCACAGAGAAGCTCTGTATTTGGAATGATTGTTATATACTTACATGTGGTGCCGACTGGGTTACTCTTATTTGAGAGAGCTTGGTACAAGAATGGATACAGCTCGGTGATGAGTCTGCCACCTCGAAAACTGTGCTCATAGTACTTACACAAGAGGCGCCACAATTGTCCTACGACAGATGCGAATCCAACATCATGAATCCAATTTTCATATAAATGATAACTATGATACAGACAAGAAAAAATATTTGAAGATAAACTCTAAGAAGAGTAAAACAATCTAAGAATATAATTACAATGAGAAGTCTAGAAAATTTAATTTTACAGGTGAGAAAAACAAGAAATATTTACAGAAATTTCCTGGGGAAAGTTAAAGGACAAAGGATAATATTAAAATCATTTGTACAGAAACAGGATGTGAGAATATAAACTGAATTCAACTACTTCTGAGGTCTTGCAGTGGGAACTGATGTAATTAGCAGTAAATCCTTATGGTATGCAGTAACAGCGTTAGTTTAACACACAGTATACCTAACAGATCTTACAAACACATGTCATGAACTTCTCCCCGCTCCATATTCAGAACAAATCAACTACATAGTGTAGTGTATGAGGTGCACAAATTAGAGAAATGTACAGAAACCTCACCAACTGTCACTTGGTGGTCAGTGAGGTATGTGTACAAATGGTACACTTGATCTCGCAGTTTGGCGTCTCCAAATGTGAAATAAGCAAGGTGCCGTCCAGCCTGAGAGGCAGCCATTAACTGCAGCAGTGTCTTAAGCTTGGCATCACCTCTATAAGCTCCACAACCCCAGTTACCAGATGCCACTCCTGCCAGCCTTTCACCAGGCTGGAATTCTGGGCAATGGAAACCAACATATGCCTGTAAGACAAATTTCAGTCAAACAAATTAACGACTGCCTTAAAAAGATGTTCATATACAAGCTGAAATCCTGGATGAGATATATATATATACTTTTATCATCATACAATTAAAAATTTCAGAAAAGGGCATAGTATGTCATAAGTGGGTTTATCATGATTTTAGGAAAAAAAGGAATTCTCTCAACAACATGGAAAAAGGGGGTACAAATAAATCCCACACATTTCAAAGTAAATCTAAAAAATAAATAATTCAGGATGAATATATAGATGTGCAAACATATAAAACTAGAACGTGATTCAACAGGCATAAAACTCACACTGAATATTATTTTAGTAATGCAATACAGCTTAAAGAAAAATGCGGTCTTATGCAGAATGGGAGAACTGGGATATGTCCACCGAAACTCTCCTTGAATGTGAATGTATGAGCAAAATGAAAATAACGTTCAATTATAAATATGCGCTGTGCATGGGGAGAGATATGTTGCAGTCACAGTGAAGTATGGACTACTGGCACTGGGCTGAATGCCTCACACTACCACCAAGGGCAGTGCATGATCACACATGACCCGCAATGCTGTTACATGCACAATCACACTCCCTCAGCCTGTCATAGACCACCAAACACTTAATGCCAGGCTGGCTGAATATGAATCACGGTGCATTATGACAAAATAAAGTCTCCCCAATTGTTCTCTAATTTTTAGGGAAAATCACCCACAAATGTATATATTAATTCAATAGACCAAGATATTTCTGTATCAAGTGCTAACACTACAATGGCAACTTGCTATTGAAACATGGAAAAATTAGAATACAAGGTCAGGAAAATAAGTTTTGAGACTATTTCTTACAAATTTCTTTCAAGAGCTGTAGATATTAGCAACCTAGAGCTTTTCAAAGTAATCTCCCTTCAACTTTGTATGATGTTCCCAGCACTTCAGCCACTGTTCAAAACAAATTTTTAAAATCCTGAACAGGAATAACTGTCAATGTTTTTTTCACAGACGATTTAATGTAAACACCCGTGAAACGCTTTCCTTTCAGAATACTCCTGAGTAGGACAAACAGCCAGAAGTCAGTTGGAGCCAAGTCAGAAGATATGGTAAATTACTTTTCCTCCGTCAAAGGAGTCATACCATGTATAGATTAAGAAACTGAAAAAGCGGCCAAGGTCCACAAAGGCTGTAGAGCCATAGCTTGACAGTATTTTTGGATAGATTTAAAATTGTGTGAATCTTCTTGATTTCATTAATACGGTCTTGAATGGTTCATGCTCATAAGAGAACAGCATGAAAATCCCACTGTTATCCTATCAAGATATTCAGTAACAGTGTGCAATAAGGATATGTATTGGGGTAACCAATTTTATGAGCAACATGGTTTATAGTTCTTACTAGGAGGCCTGATGATGACCTATACATAGTTCAAAACATGTAGCATAAGTTCATATTAAAAAACACTCTGTGACTTTTAGTCTGCAAGCAAACTATATCAAATCAGTTACTGCCACTTGCAGGCAAAGTTTGTGGCAACTTTTGCAGATAGAGGTTGTCGTGTGGTCAGTTGTCTCAGTTTTGTATACTGGGCTCAAGTTTATGCATATAATAAGTAAGTGAGGTACAGATTAATACATGCTTGTCTTCACTTGAATACAGTCTTTTATTTATCTGTTGTATCGATAGTCACATTGTTAGATTGTACAAAATGCATGTGTTTAAATCAGGATAAACGAAGTGCATGTATTTACGATATTCACATGTACAATATTCACCATGACAGAGCAGTGTCACTTTTCCCTACAGCTGAAGCAACCATGTCTTGCTCTGGGCCACTTCCTTTCTCCTAGCTGTCCAAATATTCTGTTTGTAAAAAACTGACATTTTAGAAAACTAATATCATCAACAGACAACATTTGTTATTACTGTCTGAACTGCAATAGTGTTCAGTCTTAGTTAATTACGTGGCTGCCTGTTGGTATCTGTGATAGCAGGATATTAAAAGTTATGAAGGTGGGGTTGTGTGAAACAGCAGTTTTAATACTGAGCTTTGTAAACGTTCTGCCAACAGTTCCTTCTTACACTGAGAGCCATGACATGACAAAATCAGGGGCTGAAGAGACAGACAAATTGTGTGGGTAACAGGGCCTTGAAGATGGACATGTTCCAAAGCAGCTCTAGAAAATGAAGAAAATAACTGCAAGATATTATGTAATATGATAATTGAAAATAAATATATAAATGATTTTCCACTCATCAGTACCTTATTCAGTTCTCGGTGCATGTTGCTTGGAGTGTACTGTACATTGCGGTTGCCAAGTTTCAGAGCATCAATTGCAACAATGGAGCACATTCGTCTACCACTACTGTCACGAGGAGTCATATCTTCATAATTACCCTTCCACTCAAATGTGTTACTGTAGCCTGTGTAGTTGCTGAACCGTTCACAGCCTGCCACAAAACACGAGCACTTCACTAGTGTAACAGCCAGGAAACCCTCCTTTTAAATGTTTCAATCTGTACAAAAACTCCTGCAAAAACTTATGAATTATGATAATACTGACACAGCATAGTAAACTACGTGTGTTATGAATTTCCAGTAATGAAGAATTCAAAGGGATGAAATTTCTTAGAAACAAACTTAAAAGTTTTATTAAGAAAGAAAACTATGTTAAATAGGAAGTGAACCCTTTTCAGTAAGTGGGATATAACAGAAATCTATACAGATGAGAGCATTAAATTACTGCAGTTACACAATCAGGATACCGCATTTTAGTTCTCACCAACAACAAGAAGGGCTTCAGTAGAATCAAGAGCTTCTGTAAAGAGTCGCGCAGCGATCAGTTCTGGGCAGATTACAAAACGAATTTCTTCCTGCACACAGCCTCTTCCAAGCACCCCTCCGCCCACCCGCCTAGTGAAAAGAAAACAGAACCAAAGAAGGAAATGTGTTCTGCTAACAGAGCTGACTGCTGATCAAACAACATATGCAGGGTAAACATACTTGTTAGCAAAGTCAACCTGAAGCAGACCCTCCCCATCGTCTTCTATGGTACCTTGGCTGGTGATATGAAGCTTTGTCAGGAGCTTCTGAGACTTGTCCCACTGTGGCAAATCACTGTGATTCACATATCGACGAGCGTATGTCACCACACCATCTGGGGCTGCACTGACAACACAAATAAGAACCATGGACAATTGAACACATGGGATAAGCCGCACAAAACGAACAGGTGGCTAGCACCTTGGTGAGTTAACCTATTAGTATTAAAACCAAAATGTTTAACACTGCTAATATTAAAACCTACCAATGGTTCACTGTACAATCGACAAAATTATACTGTGAATACTGCCTGTCGCGAAGTCCTCAGGTCTCAATGCAAAAGTAAATTAAGTGAAACAAAGCATTAAACCCAATTTTTCTGGGAAGTGGGAGATATAAAATACCAAGTACATCATAGTTTCAATTATTATGTTCAATGTCTCCAATGTGGGAAAGCAAACATACCCCACATTTAAAAGTATCAATATGAAGGCATTTAAAACTTAAGTCATTGTTAAGAAGACCAGGACATTCCTTTTATTCTGTAGATGAATTTATGTCTTTTGATTCATCAAGTGTGTAAATGTAATATGTAGCTGATTAATTTGTTGTATTTGTGTAAAGACAATGAAATTAATGGTAACTAGATCTAGATAATATTATTCAGATGACAAACCCCCCCATATTAGGGTGGTACAGTGAATACTGTAAAGATATGCACGAGAATTAGATGTAAAACTGACAGTTTCCCTATCCAAATGGCTGTAATACCTGTATGTATGGATTGCTGAGTGATAATAAAAATGAAATGAAATGAATATTTAGGGAATACTTGCCTCTGGAACAAACCCTTCGAAAGTAATGCAGCAGGCACTTGAGTTTCTCAGGTTTTGGCACAGCTCCTTCAGCAGCCTGAAATAACCTGATTAAAAAGTCAACGTGTGTTAATACAAGGTAAGAAATTCCATTTCCGCACACTCCTACATGGGGGGGGCAGTAACAACAATAAATTAATTCTGGATGAAATACCAGCACAAACTTTCCATCAAATGCTTCAATCTACATGGCAAGATAAGCAGGAGCTATACATTATACATTCAGTGACCAATTTACAACTAGCTGAAAGTTCCAAACATGCTAAATGTTCAAGGCTAAGCAGTTTCATAAAATTATCGTGTCTGCAGTTTCTCTACAGTACTGTAGCATGAGGGTCCATTGCCAGGCAACGGGTTCCTAACATACACCAATGGAAATGGGGCATGCGGCAGCATAGTTGGCTGAGGGGCTATGCTACAAGCTGGAAGGTCACAGGTTCAAGTCCCGATGAGGTCATTGGATTTTCTTCAGTTGACCTAATCATTCCAGCCGCACTAAGCCCTGGGGTTTACTCAGCCTCTACCAGAAACGAGTACCAGGAATTAATTAAATAATTTTCCTGGGGAGTAAAGCGCGGCCAGCATGTAAGGCTGACAACCTCACAGCCATCTTTGAGCCAAATGTCTACATAGTGTGGGACCCTCATCTCACAACCCTATGGGTCTTCACGGCCTGGTACACGGATAGCTTTACTTTTACTTTACTTTTACAAGTACTTTTACACCAATTGAATAGCTTAGAAGAGGCGTTCTCTACGCGGCTTGTGTGATAGCTGTGTGATGGAACAATGAAAGAACTGTTGCAGGTGTTATAAGCAGGACAAGTCTAGAGTTTAGTTAGTTGGGAGACAGTCTCCGGCCAGTAAGGGCATGAACACAGAAGTTGAGGGCCATACAACAAATGGTGAAGATATAGCAGACTGAAAAAACTTACTGCATTCTGTTGCGAAGTGTACAGTGAGTAAATGAGTGATAGCACTATAGCTACTTGAAGTTATGTTCTGTAAGTGTTCAATAAATCCAATTACCAATCCAAACCGTGTCTACAGTCCATCACATGACAACTAATGTCAGAAGTGGCTGAACTGTAGACCACAGTAAGAAGCTACATCACCACACTATCGAGATGGAACAACTGAAATTTTCACTGACACTTTCTAGCAGATCTGTATTTCACCCAGATGTCATACAGAAATACATGTTGCTCCAAAGTATACCGTACCATGACGTACCACACTGCTCACTAACTGTAACTAAGAACAAATGGCTAATGGAGTTGATAACTGCTGCCCACTGCTGACAAATCATAAAGAAAAGTGATAGAAAGAAAATCTTTGTTGTTGTTCCTATCGACAAACTGTGAAGTACACCAGCAATTCAGAAACCTCACTAAATTTTTAATACAATGCTTTATATACCATTGTTTTTCCTGAGCTTTAATAGGTGTTGAGGGTTACATTAAAGTAATCACTTTTACGGTTATGTCAGACTGCAGAGTATAAGGAGCGAGCAAACCTAAGTCCAGCAAATAGGTCTGAGCAATAGTCTATACTTTTAATCATGATTAAAAATACAGGATAAATGATATACCTCCGAACAATTACAAATAAGAATGACATTATGCAACAGAAGCATACATCACTCACCCTTTCTCTCAAACAAGGGGAGAAATCATGAATGTAAGTATGTGAAAATGTAATTTGCAATATTAGTTCCAAAATTTCAGTTTAATAATCACATCTGTAAGGTTTCCATACATGGAACCTTCTTGAATTCATAAAATATGAAAGTATCCCCAAAAGGTGCTCACCTGTTGAAGTTAATATCAGGATAGCGTGCATATTCAGACTGCCGCTTGGCAGTGTTACGTCGAGGGAAGGTACACAAGAAGGCATTCGCTAGAAGACTTGCAATCTGCAACTGACTGAAGCTAAGCGTGTGGTTACGGTGCTGAACAAGCAACGGTACTGGTGCTGTCAGCAGAGTAGGCAACTGTAGCGCAAGTTGAATAATTTGTGGGAGTAGGGTTGAGAAGAAGTTGCTTGTTTCATCTTCAGAGAACACCTCAGTAAAGAGCAACTGCAGCACTAAGAAGTCCCAACGTTCACTGTACTTGGAGTTGTAAGACAGTATCACAGCCTCCAGCTGCTGGCATGACATTATTGTCTTGAGGAGAGCCTCCTGCACGAGCTCCCACCGTTGCCGCAACTGACTCTGTTCTCCACCCTAAATCATTCACAAGTTAAAGTAACATACACCCTTGCCAGACATCCTCTTCATATTCATCAGAAATGATACGATTAAATGTATGGAGCAAAGTCATGCTTGAGAACCTAATACTTGATCTGCTAGTCTTATTGCCTGCCTTTTATGGACCCCAAAGGTTCATTAGCAAGCGGTAGCATAGTTGGTTGAGGCACTATGCTACAAGCCGGAAGGTCATGGAGATCAAATCCCGAAGTGAATTTTTTCAACTGACCTAATCCTTCCAGCCGCACTATGTACCTGGGGTCAACTCAGCCTCTAAAAGAAATGAGTACAAGGAATATTCCTATGGGCAAAGGGCGCCCAGCGCGTAAGGCTGACAACCTCACCGCCATCTGTGAGTTGACTGTCTAGGAATTGTGGGAGCTTCAACATCTCACAACCCTATGGGCATCCACGGCCTGCTACAGAGATAGCTTTACTTTTTACTTTTTAAAGGTTTATCATCACCCAGTACTGTATTGTATTCTTGGCCAAGTAATCCTCCAGTCCACACCCTTAAACCCTATTACTTTCAGGCCTGACTTACTAATATCCTCATTATCCTATCTATGCCTACATGTTCCAGTGGTCTGTATCGACAGTCTGTATGTGTTTACCATATCTCTCAACTCAATCTCCTTCATTTGATTATCCACATAATGATCTCCAACAAAATATAAATTTGTACATGATGGTGAATAAAGTTATCTTTCTCTTTCCGACCAATTGCAAAAAGCGTATGTTCAGGTCCCTGTTAACTCCTTTGCTACCAATCTACTAATCTTATGGACTACATACAAGCCTTGTTCTCAAAAATGCACGTGGTCAACTTTACATACCTCTTGGACTGGATACAAGCTGTGTTTTGAAAAAGGCATACGAACATGGTCAGTGTCCCAGGAATCTCTCAAGTTATCTGGATGTGGCTTAGGAGGTTGGCCACATGTAACAATCGGTAGCTGAAAAATTAAACAAATCTCTCAGTCTCGGTGCTACAACACAATCATAATATTCATGAATTCTAAGTTTCTCCATTAACAGTAAACATACACACAGAGACTGTATATGACAAGCTATATGCCTTGGTCTTCCAAATAGCTGCTTTCCAACTGACCAGCCAGACACCTGTTCATATCTCTTGTTTCATTCACTTAAGCTATATGTGCAGACAAACTTAACTTCACAACAATGGAACAGAATAAGCGATTAAGTTTCCCTAAGTAATTCTATCCATTCGTCACATTAATTTCTCTTAGCACTTGATTTCCAGATCACTTCAATTTACAGTCTTCCTTCAGCATAGAAACATGATGACAATACAAAAATCACAGACAAGTTAATCTGTTTAAAGACACACCTAAGAGGCGAGAGAGAACAGCTAGTCAAGTAACTGGCTACATAACATACTGACATAATAAAACCTCGGCTGTCTTCAACACAATATTGTAGAACAATATATATTCAACTAAAACAAGAAAGTAGTGACTTTATAAAACAAGAGGTGACTTGTATGAGAGATGAAACAGAAGATCCTACACTCACAGTTCTTAGTTAAACATGAGATGATAAGAATAACGGTGGCGAAGTTTGCAACGCAATGGCCACAAATAAATCAGCAGAAGTCTGTTATGTCCGTGGGGCAACACCAGAAGAAATTGACTATAATGAGACTGAACAGTTGGCATATAACACTCTTGCCTCACATCTGAGAGATGCATGGTTTGTTTGAATCTCAGCCAAGACATCTATCATCCATCCACTCAACACTATACAGTCTAGATACTGAAATCATCATTAAATAATCTATAAATAAATAAATATATAAATAAATAAGTGTATAAATATTGTGACATGTCGACCCCTACCTCCCCAGCGGTACGTGGCGGTAACGTAACGCTCGCGTTACTACGGTAATAGGCGAGTTCCCGCCCCGCCACTCCC